CCCCCCCCTTATTTCAGCTGTTTCCCTCTTCAGGGGTCACCACGGCAAGTCATCCTCTCCAATGGCCTCCATGTCCTCTCTAACTGCACCAGTATGTCTTTCTCCTTTATGTGACTGATGTAAATCAGCTGAAGGCTCACTTGCCCATTTTTTTGGACATGTCCAAAATTGCAAAGATTTTGGTGTTATGTGGTTTTCCAAATTGTATGGGCCTACATGTCAAGAGTGGCTTTCAGAATAATCTGGGATATTACACATGGAGAGACTCAGATATGATATGATGGACAAATCCGAGTCTTTTTTTTCAATCTGGCAGCCATTTTTAGATCTACTTGCTCAACAGGACTACAACCTCTCCTGATAATGGACATATGATTATACTATTCACCACCTTCCTTGCACTATTTTATTTATAAACTTGGTAAAAGATGCACCAGTATTTGGAATAGATATATATGCCCAGGTTTGTTTGTTTTTTGTTTTGTTTCTGTGGTTTTTGTGTTTGTATTGTTATATATGAGTGGATAAATGTAATAATTTGAAAAATCTAAATAAATATGGAAGAAAAAAAAAAGTTATATTCACGAATACATTCACTCTTCCTATAATATATGTATTTTTTATTTTCTGTAAAATAATTAATAATGGGAGCTGGTAAAGCACCAGTGACACAGTATCATTTATTACCTTCATGAACTTATGTGTACACACACACAGGGGCAGCTCTGAAGTGTGTGACGACGGCTCCATACCAGGAGATGGGAAAGGAGCGGGAGGTCTGGACTCTGAATTCTTCGCTCATCTGAAACGCAACTGGTGGTGGACCAATCGCCTGCTTGTTTGTAAAAAGGTATTTAATCAACAAACATACATGTTAAATGTGTAATTGTGTGTGTCTTGTAGACCTAAGGTCATTTTTTATTCTCAGAGGCCGAGTGGTTTAGCAGTAGCGCAGACCAAGACGAGACTGAAGAGCCTGCTGAACAGAAATGCTGTCATGCTGAAACTTAAAGCCGGTGAGGTTCCTGGAGCAGACTGAACTTTGTTAAACCTCTGACAGATATTTTTCATGAAGCTCAGTTACAGTTTGTTTTAATTTAATATCTTGTCTTCTTCAACAGGACGCAGCAATTTTCATCTCGCCAATAAGCAACCCCTGATGATGGAAAATGTGGAGGTGTGATTTCTGTCAATTTTGTTTTTATTTTCTACATTTATTTAACGAATTCTAAACCTCTTTTTAATTCCATCAGTGTTTTCAATTTGATGTTTTTCCAGCAACTCTTTGATAAGTCCGTTAGGGGTGTAACAATACATCCATCTAAGGAAAAAAAAATTGTATAGGTCCTCTGGACGGGTTCTTCTTTAATGAAACGTTGTGAAAAATGAAAAWTTTTTCACAATTTTTCATTCACTTCTTTAATGAAAAAATGAAGACCCCAAACCCAGACCCAAACCAGTGGTTATTCCGTATGTTGCGGGTGTTTCGGAGAAACTGAGACGTTTAT